CCAAACCCCCCCCCCCCCCCCCCTCGGCTCGGACATCCTTTGTGAATGGCCCCTTACCAAACTCTCCTTAGTTGCTGAAAATGTTAAAAGCTGAAAACACTTTCTATATGTTTCGATTAAGAGACTACAAATGGAGTCAACAGGACGCGAGATTTGAGATTTCGAAACACAGAAACATTTGAGCATAGAAATTAAGCACGCGTGTTTTAACCAAGAAAAAAGGAAAAAGCCTTCGGTTGGTGTTTTAACCATGCAGTCTAACTTTGAATTTTCCCAGGGGGTCAATAATTTTGCCAGGGGGGCCGCCCCCCCCCCCCTCTAGCTACTTCACTGATTCGTCCAAAAAATTATAAAAAGTTGCTGTTATGCATGGACTTATCTCGTAGACTTCGGCTGAAAAGCCACCCAAAAATGGCGGCGTGAGGAAGGCTAATTGGAATACGTGGCAAGCTCATCTTCGTCCCAAAGCTTCAGTGGACAAGCCCTGGGAACGAGGATGGGACGCGAGTTTTATCTAATGACAATGTATATGACTGAATATTTTACCACTTATACAACTTCAATGGAGGTATATAGCATTTTAATTCCATTTTAATTTCACCACTTGAGATGTATAAAATCATCGCAGTATAATATAGACTCTGGATCATGGATTGATGAACTTTTGCAACTTTCTTGATTGTGTTACGGAACGATCTCACTTATTTTTCATCAAAACAAAATTTAGGTTAAATTTAGAAATAGAAGATGTTCGCTTGAACGCAGGTGAAATGTTAAATCAACAAAATATTATTCTAAGCATAATGAGAGGAAATCAAAGTAAAGTAAATAAATTTTGATTCTTCGCCGAAAACATTCATTATTTCTTCCAAGGAAATTTATCAGCCAACGTGCTGAGAAATTTCCTTAAGTTTCTTTAAGTCAGTTTTCGATATGGCTTTGCTTTGCTGTTCAAACTTCAGCGCTTCTTTAGCATATTTCACGGCATTTTCGGAATAGTTTTGTACTGAGTGGTGTGAAAGAGATAACGTTGCGTAGACCCTTGCCTTGCAATGATTTGAGACGTCGCTTTCAGCGAATTTCTCGGCCACGCAAGTGCTTTCTAGAAGTTGAATGGCTTCATTAACACGGTGATTATACAGCAAACATCTCCCAAGGTTGTTGAGAAGATAAACATGTTTTTCACTGGCGTCACGGCCCAAATCTTCACGCATTTGTTTTGCTATCCTGTACATTCGCTCGGCCTCGTCATAATTTCGCATATTTGAAAATTGATCTCCAAGAGCTTTGAAACACAATGTTGTAAGCTCATGCTCACCTAGTTCTTCTTTGGACAATTGTATAGCATTTTCGTAATACTGTCGTGCTTTTACATTGGATTCTTTACACTCCTTTATATGTTTACGTATATGTTCCATGGTGGCAATCTTCTTCCAAATATTTCCAAGGTGCAATAATGTGAAAACTCTATCTGCTTTCCCTAAGTACGCCTCAGTTGAGGCACTCCTTAAGTCCAGGGACTTTTCCAGCTGTTCACGTGCTTTATTAATAAAATGTCCTCTTTGTTCAAGGCAACAGTCTTCAGATTTGCGCGATAAGTATCGCGCGTACTGGTAATAAAAATGAGCACAAACTGACGTATCTTGCTTTAAATATTCATGGTGTGTTTGAAACTCATTCTGAATTGCTTCCATCCTCTTAAAATACTCGTCAGGTTTCCCATTCCCAATCGATTTGCCGCGTTCTTGGTCTGCTGACAAACACTCAAAATCTATTTTAATTGTAAATTGCTTCTTCTTTTCTGCCAGATTTGCGCATCGTTGTAAGAACTCGTCGACAATTGACCCAGGGATAATGGTTCTAACAAAGAGGGTAAAAAATCTAGCAGAAGTGGTGTACACTTTACTGCGCACAAGGCAGTCAGAGATGTCGGAGGTTGTATGACTCTGCTGACAACAAATTTTAAGGACGTTCTGGATGTTGTGCGCTTCCTTCTTTAGAGCTTCTCTGTTAGTCTTGTATCCGTTTTTAGAGTAACTCTTTATGGTTAAATCGTGCCCTAAGTTTAGGTAGTATTCGACCATCAATACTTCTGCATGAGAATACTCTACACGAGCTCTTTCTGCCCTCTCTTTCTCCCTTTTCAGTTGATTAAGTAAAAAATGCTTGATCAAGAGATGAATGGAATATCGGTATTCGGTTGGTTTTTTAATCAAGCTGCGGCAAACAAAATTCCTCAAGACAGAATTTGTATTTAAAGTCTCTTTCTCGATCACGGCTCCAGCGGCTTCTTCGCTGAAGCTCCCGTCAAAAACTGCCAAACGGACAAAAGTATTTTTCTGTTCATCATCTAACATTTCATAAGACATATTAATCGCTCGACAGATGTGCTGGTCACTCTCAGAACATTCCAAAGTCTCCATTGGTTGCTTTTGTAAGTACTCTAAAAATTCATCAGAGTTTTTGAAGTCTTTAACTCTGGAGCCTGCAACGCACATAGCAAGAGGTACTTTGCCACATAGTTCAGCCAATCTTCGCAAAACTTCGTCATCCTGTTCAGGACATTGTTTTCTCAAAAGCTCCATAGATGCTTCGACGTCCATCTCCCCAACATAAACACTATCAACTGAAAGCCCAGGAATTGAATAGAACGATCTGGACGTCGTGACGATCTGACAATTAGCATTTCTTCGCAGCAAGCGGATAAAATTGTACAAACAAGTTTTTTGTACAAGTAGCGTATCGATGTCGTCCATAACAAAAGCGACTTTCTCTTTAACATTTCTTAACCAGAGAATCAGTGATTGCTTCGGGTCATCTTCATGATTAACACCAACATCAAGGCAAAGTTGTTGGATCATTTCGTCTACAGTGGTTGCAGTGCTTAAATGAGAGAAAACAACTAGAAACGTATGATCTTTACTGAGCAGATGCGACACCTCGACCGCGATTGCAGTCTTACCAAACCCTGGTCCGCCACAAATACACACAACGGCACCTTCTCCGTCCTTTAAAAACGAAACAACTTTTTGAATTTCGGCTTTTCGCGCAGTAAACATTGGCGATTTATCTGGCAAGCAACTCGTTGGCTGTCGTTCCTCATTCCGACGACTGTTCATCTTGGCGAGATCATCACGAATTTGGCCAATGCTGTTACGTATTTCATGAATATCGTCAGGTATAGCACGAAAACACTTCAATTCGTCCGCAAAGTTATTGAAATGTTTATTAATGTTCTCTTTAAGAAACTCGAAATCCAGCATTCTTTGAGAACATTCATTCAATGCACATTCCAATTTCTTCAGGTTTTGTTCATGTTCTTCTATCGCGCTTTTTTCAGATGAATGTTCAACTTTTATTCTTGTAATTTCCTCTTTAATGTCGTTTAACAAGTACCGTTGTAACAGCAGGTTTTGCAGTTCACTTTCAACAACTTTAGTGATTCCGGTGTCTTCTAAGTATTTAAGATACCCCAAGCACTTTCCGTTCTCTACATTAGAAGACACATTCTCCAGATCTTCAAGAAAGTCGCGAGCGATCAAGAAACTTTCGTCTTTTTTGTCATCAGTGAATTCTTGTTGTGGTGCATGTGCCCAGATATTTCTAACTTGGGAACGAAGTTTCCTTACAAGGTCGACGTTCACTCGAGTTTTACAAAGAAATGCGTCATCCTTCATCCATTCAAGCACGTTGAAAAGGGATGAAAGATCGGTAGAATTGGCATTTTTTACGGTAATTTGGTTAGCTCCAAGTGCAGGCATGAAGAATTTCGCGACCTCCCAGTGATCGTCAGACCATCTCGCGCTCTTGCAATTTTTATGCCACGAGGGATTGTTACCTTTTTTATGCGAGACTTCAAGCTTCACATACCAGCATTTACACGATTTACATAGATCAGTAGGCTTGATCTTGTCATTGCAATCTTCAGGGCTTCTGCAGTTGCCAATAGCGAGCAAATCATCACACAGCTTTACGTGGAATGCTTTAACTATTTCATCAACGTATGCAGAAATTGGTTTGTGAATGGATTGAATTATTTCGCCTACAGTCAGCCAGTTACCATGTTCTGTTGATACATCTATTTGGAAACCTTTACAGCAAGAAAAAGATCTGATAAATAATTTTGGTTTAAATAGATAGTTACGTTGATTTTGAGTCTAAAAATGCAAGTAATCACACTATAGTTTGAATCCCCCCCCCCCTCTTTCCTAAAAGTGGGATTGATGGGCTGGCGGGGGGGGGGGGATGTCCCATGAAAATGGCTGAGCAAAATGTGTTTGTTTTTTTTCAAAATGCAGAAAATCAAGACTAAACTTCAGGCCTTTCAGGGGAATTTTGGGTACTCAAAAGTTTTGGCGCAGATTGACTGATATGACTTGACATACAAACAGTAAGGCTCAATAATTCCATGTCATTTGCCAGCGTTAACCTGTCAAATTTTACTCCCGGAAACAGTTGCCGTAAAAGGGTGGGCAGTGTGATGGTGGAACGTTTTGAAAAAGGAAAAACATTGGCAAAAAAGGGGGGAAATTTCGGAAAGGGTGGATTTGACCTTTTTCTGAACAATGTTATATTCTGATCGGATTACAAGTATCAGATAAAATAGGCCACTATTTATAGAATATAGAAAGTATATATAACAAGAAAAATAAAACTTGAAATGTAATAATTTTGAACCTGTAGAAAACAAAATAGAATCACGGTGTTTTCCAATTTCCACAAACGCGAATATTTAACAAATGAAATAGAATAATAGGATGAAGATCCGGGCTTACGGATCGAAAGCTTTGCAGCAATATTAAAATTTACGTGGTGTTTCCACAAACAAAAAGTATATTATATAATTGTGTAATTGTTAAAACTTTTTCCTTCACTTACTTTCCCTTTCTTGACTTTCAGCCATCACTCTAATTAGCTAAAAGATCCTATAAGGGACGAAAATATTCATCTTACCGTTAGCGTGTAGGGCACGCGTGGATATTGGAAAAACGAGAAATAAAAATTGTGTGGAAACATGACGCCCGAAGGGCGGAGTGTTTTCACACAATTTCGAGTTTTCCCAATTTCCACAAATGCTGATATAACTGTATATCAATACAGAAAAATGTTTTATTTTTTATAACATAGCACAAAGAAATATAAAGAAAGAAATTTCCGAGTTGGCATCGAGTTATATGAACACGGCTCTTAGCCAATCAGCGTTCAGAATTTACAAATGCTATGTTAAAAATATATATATACAGCTATTTCAATTAAGGTTGTCCCCCGAGCAAAGCGGAAAAGTCGAATATGAGCGCGAAAGGCTGCTGGGAATCGCTAATAAATTAATTCATTTATTAGCGATTCCCAGCAGCCTTTTGCGCCCTTTCGCGCTTGTATTCGACTTTTCCGCTTTGCTCGGGGGACAACCTTAATTGAAATAGCTGTATACTGTATACTTCTAAAATAACTGTCTTCTCTAGGTTAGGACTCAGTAGAACTTGAAGGGTCGCTCTTATATTTCATTGATCGATATTTTTGGGGTTTCAAAAAAGTTAAAAATAACAAAAATTAAATACACAGTAGGCCTAGTACAGCTCATGGGTCACAGAATTTAAGGAAAACTCCCAAAGGTCTGCATGCAGTAGCGCTTTTAAACTCCAAGTCGTACATATGTTTTGAAGAAGTCACTGTTTTATCGTTAGACTACGGCAAGTGTAAGAAATTACACTACCTAAAAATACACCAAACAGAACATTTTTTAAGTTTAAACACGTATTACGAATTGTTACAAAGGGAGATTGCTAAATCGTCTGGTATTGCACTAATGAGAAAGTATTCCACTATAGGGTACAAGATAACCATGAATATGGCGAAATTAATGATAGAGTAGTGAATAGATAATCAGAACAAAATGAAGTAACACAAATAAACTCGGCAAGCTTTGTTTGGCATGTTTCATAACGTGGTAATTTTTCGTTGCATTACTAAATGTATATATATGGAAAGGTATATATATTTCAGCAACATTTTACTTACGTGAGTAAATATAGGGTCCTGCAGCAAGAGCTATCGTGGTCAATGGTGGATGGACTTGAATTTTCTCCACCAAATAGAGAAGCGTCGGAGTTTCAGAGGAATGCAGTGGTTTTCCAGGTATTTTTACGCGTTTCGTTATCATTCATATTTAATGAAGGGTTAATTTGCATTAGTCTATCCAACCATGGAGAAAAATATTTTTACCACACAGCAGGTGGTACAAGAATTTTTAACTGGTTCCCAGAACCACATGCAACGAAATTTCCCCCGGAGGTTTTATGTTTGCAATTCAAGAAGCTTAAAATGGCAGAATATGTTTTAGAATTTTATTAGGTTGTTTTTACATAGCGTGATATGCAAATATCATATTCAATTGTGACACCACACATGATATAAGTATATATGACAAACACGGTATGATTTTCTTATTAAAAATATCTAAATAATATCTTCAAAATAAAATCTATATCTTCAGCAGCAATCCCTGCACGCTTGGTATACAATATTTCTGTTTAAACATTTCATACCATCGAGAGGACATTCGCCTTTCGTTATGCAATTACAAATTTACCCGTTTACAATTACAAATTTATTTTCGGTCATGCTGGAACTATAGCTCATTTTAGTTATAGTATTCCTGTTGAAGATTTTAAGGAGTGTAGACGAGTTAGGAAAGTGGGTGTCGGGGAGGCATAGAGAGTCTTTACCGATATTCGTTGTGGCGTTCTTACAATATGGTGGATCAGTCAAACCATGTTTTTTACTCGGATTCGTCTTGGCTTGATACGGGTGTCTGGATGAGTAGTAAAATCTAGCTTGCATTGGTAATTACTCCGGTGAGGGACCTTTTCATGGAGAGGTGTAGATGTTTCGAACGATTGCTTGCTAGATGAAAGTCGTGAGAGTCTTTTGTTTATTGATACACTAACAGGTAGTTGTCTAATAACTGAAGGTGGATGGTTCAAGTAACTATCGATATGACGTCAATGTCGCTATATAGTGGATCGTTGTCCGGTTTTCTGCAGGGTAAGTGACTACCGTTAGCAAGGTTAAAAGTTATGTTTAGGAAATTTACAGTTTGGTGGCACAACTCTGCCGTAATCTTTAATCCGAAATACTCGAATAACGTACAGGTGTAGGTGTTTTCCAGTTTGATCTGCCAAGCGTCCGCTAGTTCCTTTAGCAACACAAATCCGTCATCACGATACAATCCCAAATGCTTTTTCCAAATATTTTTATGGTTAAAAAATAAACAACCCAACGAGCTCGCACACTTCTGCACCGTCAAAACGTCCCATTGTTACATCGTACATAGATTGATTATTGCGAAAAATCCAAGGTTTCCCGCAGTTTATAAAACAGAAGAAAACTACATGAATGTTTAATAATCCCCGTGTGTTATTCGGAAATTTAGCTCAGGAAATCTTCAGCCCAGTTGATTGCCTTGTCTAGAATGTCTTCTGTAATTGATGGGTAGAAATCTGCGATGTCGAAAGAGATGAGCTATTGGCTTTCTCGTCGATGTTTTTGAACCAGTCAATGACGATTTGTGAATTTCTTCACTGGTTAACGCCAGTTGCCAATCTGATCTTGGCGTTAATCTCATCTAAAATAACTTTGCTTACTTTGCCAAGTTCACTTTTCGCCAGATTTTATTATAAGACAGTATTTTGGGGTGTGCTGGAATTCTCTTTACCAGTTATGATTATGAAACCCTCTCGTTTTGCCAAGATCTCTACACACTGTTCCCGTCACCAAGCTTGTATGTTTTCGTGATGTTATCTTTCAAATTGAGAGACAACACTAGAGGCAATTTCGATTTGAACGCCTGGCATCAACTGTATACTTTTCCATTTGAGGATGAAATTAGACCGCCACAATAATACAGTATGACAATTGGGCTACAGAGTACAGAAATCCTTCAATTTTTCGGCGAGTTGTCACGTTGTAATACTTCAAAATTTCTAGGGTAATCCCTGCCCTTTTTTATAGCCTACCAACTGCATATTTCTGAGTTAAATATGGCACACGAAAATTTCAGAATGGAGACATATGAGTACCACAAGATGGCTGCTGCCACCAATCATTGCAACTTCCAGTGCCGTGCGTGGTCCATATTATATAACTCAGTGCCGTTAAGGTGGCTAGATACAGCTAAAGATCAGGTCTGCAGTATACAGTTTTAAAATTTTTCAATATCGTGTTATGTTCTAATAATATGTCACATAAATTGAGATGTCCCGACGACAGTGATGAATCGTGAACGAACGTCCTGATTCAGCGAGGCTGACGGTCTAAGAAAGTATTCGTGACGTAACTAAAGAGCTTAAGCATGCAAGCGATGTTTTTGACAACACGTACGTACGCCAACCGGAAGTCAATCGAGCCGTTATAAATGTTGTTTGAAATCACGTGCGACTATATTGACTGCCGTTCTTAACTATTGCGGCGCGATTTACTTTCCAGTCAGCGTTACATGTTGTCAAAAATGTCGCTTGCTTATTAAGCTCTTTATAAGGTGTATTCGGAGTTATTCTGCCATAAATGTTATCTTATTGTGTCTGGTGTATTGTTCTCGGAGTCCGTATCGACTTCAACCCGTCCGTGAATCTAGAGCAAGTACAACCAAATTAAATATTAGTAAAAATGTCAATTGAGTAAACAAGTAGTACCTTCAGGCTCAACTGTTTTTTACACTGACATTTCTTCAAATCTTGTATTACGGAACTGCCTCTAAGCTGCATTATAACATCTCAGAATGAAGTAATTATTTCCTACATAAGCATGACTTGTGGTTTGATTCACTGACACACATTAAACTACAGTAACATTATTTAATCTGCCAGGATAGTTCTTCATTTCAATCTAAATGTTTTTATTAGAGGTTCAAAGAGATTTCAAAATTACTTTAAGTAAGAGCCTGTGGTGAGAAAGTAAGCGGATGAAAGCTTTGACTACTTTGTCAATATATATCAAGTCAAGCAAGTGTGATAATCTTTTTGTCCAGTTTTTTGCATTACCAACTGATTTACTGCAGTATATAGTATACGAATGGATGAAATAAAAAGCATATAAATTTATGACAAAAATTGTTCCTTCATCATGATCCGGATTTTAGTTTTTCACTGCAAAAAAAGTCCGCGTACTATATTTTGATTCAAAAACTTCAATAAAAACGTGCTCATAAATTAGAGCAATCTCAATAAACCACACCCATGGCCATACATGCGCAAAACGGACTTGATTGCCGTTCCCACTGTAATACACGCCGAGCAAGGTAAACCGGAGCACTGCTAATCGCGGTGACCACATTCGGTGGGGTGAAATTGGGAATGCATTATCCACGTATACGACTCAAGAGAAAGCCCTTCTGTGGCAGATGTGAAAGTATCTATAATGCGCTATTGATGTACAGTAATACCTTAATTAAAGTTAAAACAATATGAAATGTCCTACCGCAGATGAAATGTTAACCCATTGCATCGCTTTCTTTATCTTGTCATTCAAGCTGGGTGTATCTTCAAGGTTCCAGTAGGTAAATTTCGAAAACTTATTAGAGACTTTAAAAGATCGATCCTGAAAAACATAGAGTTATATGAACAGCTCAGTTGAAGGGTCTTTGTGGATGGAAATTTCGAGCGGAAGATTATACAATTTTGAGATCTAACCTGGAGCAGTTGGCAAAAGTGCAACTACAGCGTAGGCCCTCTCACAGGAATCGAACCTGTAGCCTGACGATCCGGTGCAGCGCTCTAACCAGCTGAGCTACAGAGTCCAAGTTGACGCGAACATTGACAACAAGTTCTTGTACAGTATACAGTATATAGAGTGGGTGATTGTAAGGTATACAGCAGGTACTGTAAATATCAAGACTTTGGGCATCAG